TGTGGGTACATTGGACAATTGTTAAACTAATATCGTCCTTAGTAGACTTCAAAATGAAATATTTTGAAGACATTTTGAAGTCAAAGGTAAAAATTTCCCATTATTCTTTCCAAAAAATGGAAAACTTGAATAATATAATAAAACCCTGAAAGTCTAAAAATTTTAGTACGATGTATAAAGTTGGGATTAAAATTATTTGTCAAACTGAACAAATTGTTCATTTTGAGTACTAAAAAAAGGCCTAACACAAACTATGGGAACGAATCTAAAATTTTAATTAGGACTTTTGGCTGATGAAGTATCTGGCATTTGGTAGTTTTTATAATAATTATCTAATATCATTCGATTTTTATTTTGAAAATAGTTGTTTTAATTATTTTGTTTAATTGTCATTATAATTGTTTAATATGTTTCTATAATAATTTTTCAAAAAATCTTAATTTCCAGCAGAATCGTCTGCTTTTCCTCTCTTCCCTCCAACTGTTATCAGTAATATTTGAATTCAGTTGTTTTTTTTTTTTAACAGATGTAATTTGTCATTAGCGGATGACTAAACAGTTTTAGAGGCCAACGACATGTGTGTGTCTGGTCAAACACATGCTTCGGCGTATAAGGTGATTAGTTTAGAACTACATCATCAGATGAGATCGAACAAAGTTCAATTCTTATCAAACGTATGCGAATATTTTTGTTTTACATTGTAAAAGTCGGAACATTGTTCTGCTTGATAACAAAACACCCCCTAAGTGGTGGGAAAGGTAATGTATGCTATCAAAAAAGTATTTGGATTACACTAAGCTACAGGAAATTATTATTTTATAATTATTAAGGCATTTTATAGTAGCTCAGGGTAGGGATACCCTTTCACCATTTCCGCTTATTTTCTAAGGATATAACTAACTAGAATATAGTACTATTACTTCACTATATTTACTTTCGGGTACTATTGAAGGAAACCTTTTAGGTTTTTATGAACATTTTTTTTTTTGGGTTTTGAGGTTTCAAGGAACTTAACTTATATCCGAGAAAAAATAACTTAGAAACACTCATCAATTTTCTAAGAACATTTTTAAAGGGGATAAAGGAATGCTTGTGGATTACTAGGATATGATTTTGAGGGTATCTAGAGGAAATACTTGTGATTTTTTTGAAGGATATTTCCGAGGCTCAAATGAGAATTTTTTAAGAATATATTGAAGCAATATTTGTGAGGTATTAAATGAAATTTTCGAGACACTATTCAAGTATAATTTCGAGCGGTCAATGACGAAATATTTAAGGATAATTTGAGGGACTATTCGTGAAGGATCTTTGAGACAACTTTTGGAGATTTTTAAGGATATCTATATTGAATAAGGCTTGAAAACATTTTCTATCGACTATTAAAGGACAATTACTGGCATTTTAAGGATGTTGAACTGAACCAATACTTGTGCAATTTTTAAAGGATATTTTCGATCGAGTATGGAAAAAATACTGGATTTTAAAGTAAAGGTTTTCGAAATTAACGTAAAGGTGTAAGGACATATTCGCACAACTTTTGAAGGAATTTTTGAATATTTTCCATGGATCAATACTCGTGAATATTTCAAGGATATTTTTGAGGGACTATTGAGTAAAAAATGAATTATTTTAAAGAATATTTTCGAGGACAATTATGAAAAGATTTTTAAGGGCATTCGATGTGGACTTTTAGAGCAAAAGTCGTAGAGGTTTTTAAGGATATTTCAATGAACTACTGTGGAATTGTTAAGGATATTTTCGATAGTAATAATTTAGTGGGATTATTGAAGAATTTTTTAATGAGAGTTTCGGGGGACTTTTTAATCAAAACCATTGGAATATTTAGTCGTATTTTCGAAGTAGCATTCTCGTGGGATTTTAATATTTTTGGGAAGGACTATTAAAGACATCTCAAGGACATTTTTTAAAGGATTTTTAAAAGAACTATTGACCCAATAATGTGGGAGTGCTGTATCAATACTAGTTGTCGAATGATATTTTCTTTCAATTATTGAAGGAACTTTTAGGATATTAAAGATGAAATGTGGGGCAAAACTGGTAGAGCTTTAACGGATATTTTGCGAGGGTATACTGAAGAATTGTTAAGAATATTTTCGAGCAACTTTTGAAGCAGCTCTCCTTGATATTTCGAAGGATGTTTTAAGTATAATTTTGAGCAACAATTTGATAAATACTCGTGGGGTTTTGATATATTTTCATAAGGACTACTGAAGGTAATTTTAAGGATATTTTCGATCGTCTTGTGAAAGCAATACTTTTGAATTATTTTTCTCGATGTTCCATTTTATTTTTGAGGATTTTTTATGATATTTTCGAGGTAATATTAAAACAATACTCGTGAAATAGGATATTTTCCAGAGACAATTAAAAAATTGTGTAAATATTCTGTTGAAGATTTATTGAATTATTTCGAGGATATTTTGAATATTCATGCATTTTTGTAAGGTTATCTTATAAACACTATTAAAAATTGTTTTAAGGATATTTGAAAGAACTTTTAAGGATCATTGAAGGATAACTTTTGTGCAACCATTGAAGCAATGCTAGTGGATTTCTAATGATATTTTCGAGGGTCTACTGAAGAATTGTTCAAAGGATATTTTGCGAAGATATTTAAGTAACTTTCTAGGGACTTCTGATTTTGGTTATTTTGAAGGATATTTTCGAATATGTTTATATTTTCGTGGGTTTCTAAGGATATTCCCATAGAATATTGAAGCAGTGCTAATGATTTTTTTTTAAGAATATCTTTAAAGGAATATCTTTCAAGGATATTATCAACGAACTATAAAAGAAATTGATGGAATGTCCTCGAGCTGTTGTTGAAGTGTTGTTGGGGATCTATCGAATTCAACGATTTTTTTGGAAGGATTTTTAAATATATTTTAAGGATATTTTTGAACGACTTTTCTACAACATTTTAAAGACATTTTCAGAAGAATTTTCAGCGTATCTCGTGGATTTTTTATTTATTTATTTTCAAGTGACTATTGAAGGATATTTTCCAGCGACTATAAAAGTGGATTTTTAACGAAACTTTCAAAGGACTATTAAAGAATTTTTTAAGGATATGTTCAATGGACTAGCGAAGAAAATTTATAGGATATTTTCCAGAGACTATTGAAGTATCATCTGTGGGGTTTTAAGGATAATTTCGAGTAATTTTTGAAAAGTTTTTCAAGAATATTTTCAAAGATTTTTAATGATATTTTGCAGCTACATCTGAAATACTTGTGGATATTGAGGTTAATTTCAAGAAATTATTAAAATGATATTTCAAATTTTGTAGGTAAAAAACCATTTGGTACAAATTTGGCTATTTTCGAAAAATAACATACATTAAAACTTCTGTTAAATGGGGGCTATACGAAGACGTGGACCTGCACAGACAATTTTCTGTCATAGGCTGTAGCATTCATTACGAACTTCAAATACAAAATTTTAAATAGTTCCGGTAAATAATGTCTCTAAAATCATCAGAATACTGAATATCGGGAGGTACCGTTATATGAGGGCTATACGAACGCAAATACCAAAATTGAAACAATTCCGGTAAATAATGTCGCTAAAATCATCAAAATACCGAATATCGGGGGTACCGTTATATGGGGGCTATACGAAGACGTGGACCTACATGGCCCATTTTCAATGCCAAAAGTCCTGCAGACATGATACACATTTGAGTAAAATTTTATCAACCTACTTCATTTCGTTCGGAAGCTAGAGTGATTTCCAAAGACGGACAGACGGACAGACAGAAATAGACATAGAATTTTATGCTGATCAAGAATATATATACTATGTGGGGTCTAAAATGTATATATTCCGAGGTGTTACAAACGGAAGGACAAACTTAATATACCCTCCATGCTATGGTGAAGGGTATAAAAATTAATCCAGGATATTTTTAGAGACTATTGAATCAATACACCTGGTTTCTGCAAGATGCCTGATATCTCTCAAATTTTTAAGTAAATTTTCCTTTGAAAATTTTAAGTTTTTAAAATTTTTAAGGACTAATGGAGCAATACTAGCTGGTTACAAGCTTATTTGGGAAAAACCGAAAAAAAAAGTTTTCAATTTAGTCTTAATTTTGTCAGTTGTAATGTTTTATATAATTCAGAGTTGCAAAATGGCCAAGAGCGGACAAATGGCCAAGATACAAGCTATTGTGGTATTAGTTCAGGCTTGTCTATTGCTGTTTTTTCTCCGTTTTTAGGTACAAATAAATTTGTGCCTCAAATGGTTATAGAATATTGAACTATAATAATGAATAGGTGACTCGATATCTCAATGAAAATTTAAATAAACGGAAAATCTTAAGGCATACCTAGGAAAATCATTAATATCCTTTTTTATTGTTGCAAAATGGTCAGGCTTTATCTCTTTATTGTTGTTTTTATAAAAAACAACGTTTGTTTATTGGTGGAGAACAATGGTAATGTTTACCAGGGGGTAAGGTAGGGAATACATAGGAATGAGCCACCAATCCTTATCAGTCTCCTTGTTTTTTGTCTGGGATATTCTCCCCTGAAGTTATTTTAAAAATCACTTCTATGACAAAAAAAAACATTTTTTACCCAAGTGACGAGATCATAAGCTCGATAGAAGAGGAACCAAAGAATTAAATAAACCCCCTTTCCGAAACCTAGTTATTCCCTGCCTTACCCCCTGGTAAACATTAGCATCGTTCTCCACTAATAAACAAACGTTGTTTTTATAAAAACAACAATAAAGGGATAAAGCCTGACCATTTTGCAACAACAAAATACTACGGTATCCCGAACAAACAAGCCAACACTGTTCTATACTTTTTTTTTTTATTTAAACAAATAACAACAATTAACTATAAAATGTATTTAAATGAAGCTCCTCAGAAAACCCAAGAAGCTTTCCATGCAATGAATTATTTACCTAAATTATATAAGGTATTTCCAGTATTTCTTAAAATATTTCTAAAATTAAACCTAAAAATTATTGTCTAATTTTAAAAAATTATTTCTCTGACGTTTTCTCCTCCAAACTTTTCTTGAGTACCCTCATTTTCGAATAGACAATATCCCAGTCAACAAAACCACCCACAATGTGACGAACATTATTCTGGGTATCATCATAACCGGTACGGCCGTGCAACATACGTAGATTATTGAAAGTCAAAACATCGCCAGGTTGGGTTTTGAAGGTCACCGCTTGTTCGTGGGCCCAACGCACGAATAGAGCATTAGCACGATACCAGGGTACAACTTTGTCAACATCTACATTGAAGTGGGTATCACGCTGGGGTACACTGTGATTGATGCGGACGTATTGGCCATCGCGGTCCAAACTGCAAAGAGAGGTAGCAATGAAACATAAGAGCAAAATTCGTCTGTTTATGAATGTCGGAAGATAACGAAAATATATTTTTGAATTAAAAAAAATTGAAAATATATTTAGAACTTCATTCTTCCGAAATACATGAACAGACCACAAATTAAATTATTTTTGTTAATTGCTTTTACTCACTTTATTACGGGAGCCCTCCACATATTGTGAAACGAAACACCGGCATCTTGTCCAATATCGCTCCAATCGACCAGAGTTTCACTGAGAATCTTAAAATATTCCGGTTGTTTTTCCTTGAGTTGATTGGCAATGTTGAACCCGTCGGTGAGGAGATTCCAACCACCTTCGGATTGGGATTGCTCCAAGGTGTGTAGAATGGTAACACTGGGTTTATATTCGTAGTAAGGCAAATCTGTGTGGAGCGGCAGTGGAGCAGCGAGATATGAGTAATTTTTGGCTCCGGGGCGTGATATAACGCTGAACTCTTCACTGAAATTGGAGACATACACATATTGAAGGGAATCTTGCAAATTTCTTTTGCAGGTTTTTAGTCGAACATGTAGGAATATTTTAAAACAAGTATTCTATCGAAAAATGCTAATATATTTAGAAAAACCTTACATGTTAAGGAGACCCCTAAATGCTATCATAGTCTTGTGTGTCTAGAAGGTACCTATAAGTCCTTCAGAAGAACTCCAAAAGGTCTTCAATACCTTAAAGAGCCCTAGAAGGTATTTTCATACAAAACTTTGAGAATGAAAGGAAAGAATATCTGGTATGTCATATAAGCGTAGAAGAAGTCTGGAGGGTCTTCTGTCAGTCTAAGATAAGAAGATGATTTTCTAAATCTGAAAGACCTCAAAAATGATATTTTTATGGAAGATATCTGAAAGCCCTCCATAATACCTCTATCTCTAAAAGATATTTCATGATTTGAAGAATTTCGTACGGCCTTCTATGGCCAGGAGAAAAACAAACAGCTTTTTATGTCTGAATGAGCGCTTGAAGGTATTCTATATTTCTATTGAGTCTAGAAATTAGAAGAACTCCAAAAGGTCTCCTAGAAGCCTTTTATGTCTGAAAGAGCCATGGAAGGTATTATATATCTTATCCTACTGACAGCCTCAAGAAAGTTATCCAATTCCATATGACCTGTGGAAGGCCACATTTCTCAGGATGAGTTTGTATATTTAAATAAAAGTTCTTCTACGTTTAAAAGAATTTTAGTTGGTCTACTATGTATAGAATATCCTTTAGAAGGTCCTCTATGTTTAAAATTTCAGAAAGTCTTCTATTCTTAGATGAAAAGGTATTATATACCTAGGCAACCTTCAAAGTGTCTTCTTCATCTTGAAGACCTCTAGAGGTGTCTTATGTCTCTATAGTCTATTCCTAAATATTCTATTCCTAAAATGGCGGAACTCTAAAAATTCTTCCATTCAATCTAGAGGGCCTCTGGAAGATCTTCTGTGGTTAGAAGAGTTTTCTATGGTCTTCTATGTCTAGAAGATCTCTAGAGAGTGTTCGATGTCAAATAGGTATTTTAGGAGGTCTTTAATGTCTAAAGAGATTCCTCTATACTTGAAAACCTTCAACATGACTTCTTTGTCCAGATAACCTCTAAAGGCCTCATCAGAATGGTATCTTCTAAAAGACCAGGTCTTCCATGTTCAGAAGATCGCTCTGCTATTCTTAAAAAAATATTTCAAATGTTATACATACGACTAGGAATCTCATCACTTCACACTATACACTCACAAAAAATTGTCCGTTCATAACACACACTCACTCAAAACCACAACACTAAACTTACCCATATGTAGTCTTTCTAATAAATCCAACACGATTACAAATTGTTTTCACTACACCAATATCGAGAGGGGCATTCTTCAACATGCTGACACCCCAGACGGCCAAGGTGTCTAGCCAATCCTTGAGAACTGCAAATTAAACGACTGAACTTCATAAATATTTCTCAATAATACCCTTCACTCCCTTACCTTCATCCTTTTCCATGATATCCTTGAACTCAAAAGTTTTCAAAATTTTCGAAAACTCCTCTTTGCTCCATGTCTGTGTTTGAGGACGATACCAGTCCTTGAGGAACTGCTCGCGATTCTCCTTGGAGAAATTACGTTCCTTGAGCCAGTCCAAGGAGAAAGTGGACTGGTGATTATCGGACCAGTTAATGTGTATTTGATTTTTCTTTTCGTCGACGGAAATTTGTTCCACCTTGACGTCACAATCGAAATTTGTCCAACGCATGGGTTTACGACTCAGCGAGTCCTTGTGGAAACACTGGTCACAGAGGCAATTGTCACGCAACCAAATACCGGGAAATTGCATGGCCGGTGCCTGGGTTAAATCATTTTCTTGAACCACCACAATTTGTTCGGATCCATGAACCGAGGCCGAGAGGTTATCACCTTCACGCGATACTTCCTGGGCCTTGGCCGAAAGGTGGCGATTCAAAGGATTGCCACCCTTTGATTTTAGATTTCGGGTTAATTGTTGCAAGGCTTGACGTGTTAAAAACATGATTGTTTTCTTCGGTTCAAATTTAAGGGTCTGGGTGGAGATCCGCTCTGAACTGTACACTTTGGCGAGTGCCGCAAGAATGATTTACTGGAAATTTGTTTTGTGGTTAAAAAGTCTAGAGGACTTAAAAACTACATAACGTTTGCAGATTCTCTGACAAAGAACTCTTATCAGTGGTCAACGTAAAGGACCGAAGAGGGCGGGATGTTGTCGAAATTCTCATCTTCTGCAAAATTTGTGATTAGACAGACAGAGATATACTCAAATATTTTTTTTGGGCAAATTTAAAGCTATCCCAAAAATGTTTTGTTTTCTTAGCCACCCTGCGATAAGAAATGACTCACATCGTCGATGGTTTGTTTAACCAGTTGACTGTGGGATTTGGGTTCAATCCGGATGCGCAAACTTTAACAAATTTGATAATTACATTTTCAAATTTCAACGGATTTAGTTTCTAAGCGGTTATGGAAATTTGGAATATTCGAAAAATCTAAGTTAGCTATTAAAGCCACGCTTATTGATGGCAGACAAGTTATCGGTAAATATGGCATGATTCCCCAATGCCACAGACAAAACATATATGTGTGTGTATTATGACGTAGAGGTGAAATATATTGTTTTGATTCGTGTGCCTCCAAGGGTGGGATGTGAGTGATTTGGGGCCGTATTTCAGGGCCTGAATACTGAGTTTAAATAGATGTGTTTTTTTTTGTAAATAAAATACCGAATTCAAATCTTCTGGAGATAAGAGACTTTCATAAGATCTCTTCATACACAAAAGACTGCCTGCGGATCTTCTGTGGCTAGACGATTTTCTAGAAGTCTTTGATGGAGAGAGTGCGAGAATCAGGGTTTCTCTACAGAGAATAGGATGTATAGGTTATTTATTTACCTCCTCCTCTCAAAACTATATATCTATAGTGGCCTTCATATAAAATTTCAGCTCTATCCTAAGACCCTCCCTAATTTACTACCATACATTTCTATGCTTGCCACACATGTCTAAAATCCCATTTTTCTTTCCACACTATGCACCAACAGTGACCTCAATACCGAATATCAGAATTCCATCTCTATCAGAACAGATTTTGTGTCAGTTTTCACTTTCCGTACGTTTATAGTACGAATTTCCCAAACCACCTCCTTCAATCACAGACACCAACAGTGGCATCCATATGAAATTTCGGGAACATTTAGTTCTCTTAGTACACTTAATGTGAGCATTTTCAAAAAAAAAATCTTCGTATCTAAACTTCAGAGTCCAACAGTGACCTTTAAATAAAATTACAGGATTACATCTCTGTAATTTCCCCCATTGCCGAATTTAGTATCATTTTGTACAATTATCGTACGCATTTCCAAAACCAGCTCTAGCTCTCTCAGCTACAGACATCAACAGAGACATCCATATCAAATTTCGAGATTTTAACTAAATCCCTTCCCCCAAAACCACATTTAGTACCACTTACTACTTTTCGAAGAGTTATGGTACACATTTCCAAAACTAATTACATATTTTAACCGCAGACACCAACAGTGACATCTATAAAAAATTTCAGGATTTCAGCTCTATTGCTTCATCCTATACTAAATTATGTACCATTTAGTACTTTTCGTATAATTATGGCACACATTTGCAAAACCACCTCCATATCTCAATTTCAGATATCAACAGATACCTCAATATCATTTTTGAGGATTACAGTCCTATACCCTCATTCAGCATAAAATTTTGTACCATTTAGTACAAACCACAAAATTTCTGAATTTTATCTCTATCCCTACACCCAATACCAAAAATGGTACAATTCAGTACTTCTCGTACACATTTCCAAAACCACCTCCATATGTCCATGCTACACATAAACAGCGACCCTGATACCAAATTTAATATTTGAAGCACTATATTTTCACCCAATACCAAATCGTGTCGAATATAGTACTATTTAGTACTTTTCGTACAAATCAACGCCAAATCTCAAACAAAACATCTAATTTCTAAATTTTATTACTATCCCTCACCCAATACCAAATATGGTACAATTCCGTACAGTTTGGCTACACATGAATAGCGAATCTGATACCAAATTTCGGGTTTCAAGCACTATCTGTTCACCCAATGCCAAATTGTACCTAATGTAGTACTATTTAGTACTTTTCGTACAAATATAGGACGTATTTCAACACCAATGCCAAATCTCAAACACAAGTACCATCAGTAATCTAAATATGAAATTTCAAAATTTTATATCTATACCTTCACCCAATACCAAATATAGTGCCATTTAGTACTTTTCGTACAATTATAGTACACATTCCCGAAACCACCTCCATATGACCAAGCCACACATGAAAAGCGACCCTGATCTCAAATTTCAGATTTCAAGCACAATATGTTCCCCAAATACCAAATTGTACCTAATAGAGTACCATTTAGTACTTCTCGTGCATTTGTAGTACATATTTTTAAAACCTTCTCTTTATCACAAACCTACCAGCAACAGGGACCCCAATACAAAATTTCGAAATTCCAGCCATGATTCTCATAACAAATTTCAAGTTTTTAGCTCTATCCGTTCACATAATACCAAACGGTACCATTTTAGAAGTTTAGTGTCATTTTAGAACTTTTCGTAACGTTAAAGTTCGAACTTCCAAAAACTCTTTGGAACATTTATCCTGCACTGCATCAGGGAGTCTTATTGCAAAATTCAGATTTTTAGCTCATTCCGTTTGTCGCATACATAATATTCGATTTTTAGTACTTTGTACTCTTTTGGTATGAATTTCTGTCCGTTAATTTTTTCGACAGTTTGAGGTCGTTTAAAGGCACTACGTAGGGAGTATACTTTCTTTTTTCTAAAGACGACACATGGAAGACCCTATACGGGTCGTTTCTATGCAGAAGATCATGTCTTCAAGTCTTTTTTTCAGAGAGATGACCCTCAGGAGGTCAAATATCTTCTGTCGGATAATTTTCTAATGAAAATACAAATTTTCAGGCAAATCAATTGGAAAATGTGGCCAACCTTAAAAAATACTTGAAATCGAGGATAACTCCTACATTGGGACTACACAAACAAGTGGACCGATATGAGAAATTTTTATACCCTCCACCTTGGAAAGAAGGGTATATTAACTTTGTCTTTCCGTTTGTAACATCCTTAAATATTCGTCGTAGACCCCATAAAGTATATATATTCATAATCAGCATTTGTATTGTGTCTAGGATGGTTGGTATTGAAAATGAGATATATCGGTCCATGTTCTGGTATAGTCCCCATATAACGGTACCTCCCGATATTCGGTATTTTGATTATTTATGCCACATTTTTTCACGGATTTGTCTGAAAATTGGTACTTGTAGGTCATAATGGGTCCCTGTGCGTGTGGCAAAACATTGCATGTATGGGTCCACGTTTTGGTATAGCCCCCATATAAAGGTACCTCCCGATATTCGGTATTTTAATTTTTTTGCCACATTTTTTCACGGATTTGTCTAAAAATTGGTATTTGTTGGTCATAATGGGTTCCAGCTCCGGTGGCGAAACATTGCATTTATGGATCCATGATTTGGTATAGCCCCCATATAACGGTACCTCCCAATATTCGGTATTTTGATGATTTTTGACACATTTTTTCAAGAATTACTCTGAAAATTGGTAGTTGTAGATCGTAATGGGTTCTAGCTCCGTTTGCGAAACATTGTATGTATAGGTCCATGATTTGATATAGCCCCCATATAACGTACCTCCTGATATTCGGTATTTTGATGTTTTTTGCCACATTTCTTCTAGTGTTTCCTTTACCCTAAGGTGGAGGGTATTAAAAGTTTGGACCGGCCGAACTTAATGTTTTTTCTTGTTTAAACTAATGACACCTGAAGTTATCCAAAATTCCAAAACTCTACTTTAAATATTGCGAAATATACTTCAAAATATCCGGATCCTTTCCTGTACGGTTAATGCTGTTTCGTCGGAAAATTTGTTGAGGTATTATACAAGCCAATTAATATCGAAGCCACTTGGAATTTTCCACACGCTGTTGCACTGTGCAGTTGTAAAAAAAATTTGTTGGAAAATCGGAAAATATGCTAGATTTGTCGACAAATAAAACAAAAAATCTTTTCCAAAGTTTCCTCTAAATCTCCAATTAGTTTCTTCAAGCAGGTATTTAATTCTGTACCAAATTCCCCACCTTAAAAGGCCCCCTTAGCACAATTGCCTTATCATTCAACAAAAAGAAAAGAAAGAATAAAACACCTCCAAAACGCTCACCGCCCCAGTATCGGCTGATCAGCTCACATTTTAAAATCGACCATTTACTAAAGAACACGTAGCTTAACTTTTGAAGCTTAGCTTGTTGTTCGCAGACAATTTGAGTGGTGTTTTATTTGGTTCGAACTGGAATCAATTCTTTTGCCCGTAGACGCTGGAGGAGGCACGTACTGGTATTGAAAACGAAAAAACAAAAAACAACAACTCGAAAAGCAAACATTTGATTTGTGACGAAAATTTTTACCTCCCCACACCCTCCCTCCGTCAAGTGCAATTTAATTAAAACGGCAATAGCTTTGCTTCATATCGGAAATCGGAAATTCATTGAGCCGTTTGTAGCCGAGACAACAATTTGAAACCTTTTCATAGAATTAATACGAAATAAAAAGTGCTGATGCAGATGAAAAAAAACCTTTGGACTATCTGTGAATGTGATGTCTAAAAACGGAGATTTTGAAAATTGCAGAGAATTGTCTTTGCATAGACAATGACAAACATTCACAACGCCATCGCCATTCATTTCACGTTTGCATTGAAATCGATTCGAAGTAATTGTTTATGAATTTTTAATTGTGCAGATTATCAGCGTCATCATCAATATCGTTATTATCATCATCATCATCGATAAACAAATGGGGGAAATCACTTCAAATTTGTTAGTCCTTTATTGTTAGTCCTTTGTGATGAACAAATAAATCGAGGGGCATTGCTCATACATATCCATAATTTTTTAATTTTATTTTTCTCAAACAATAATTTCTTACAGTTTAAAAATACTTAAAAAAAATTAGAAAGTATCAGTAAGTTTGCACTCTACCTTCAGCCTATGACTAAGATGTTTTGCCAAGATCCATTAACCATATTGTGTGGGCGTGAGCGGGCGAAGTCATTAAAAATTTATTCTTCAACATGCAATAAATATTATGTTCGGCCGGGCCAATTTTCAATACCCTCCCCCATTAGGTAAAAACAA